TTGTGGCTTATTGTTTATAATACATTTGTGTTAATATTAATATTATTATATTGATTCACACTAGAGGATATTTGAGGTTGAGGTTGAGGTGACAACCCGGCGCACGAATCGTGGGCGGTGCCTTGTCAGTTCTCAGCATTCAGCACATTGTTGCCAAGTCTTCAAAATCAACATGATATTTTGTTATATGGTACAAGAGATATACAGACATGCTGGTTGCTCGAAAAAGTCAAGAATGATCTATAATATCATGGCTTACTCTTATTATGTTTTATCTCGTGTTTTATCCAACGACAGGACTCTAATCTTTATGATAAATTGATTATAATTGGTGACTTGACAACGTCATTGTAGAGAAAAGTGTTGTTTTTATCTGCCTGCCTTGTCTTCATTGAGATAGTTGATGAATTGATGACAAAAATATATCGCGTTCCAGTTACGAATGTTGGAAATATTATTTAGGTATGTTTCAGATTCAACATCCATGTTCCGCCTGTCATGAAAATCAGTATTAATTTTTATGGACTTCGATATTTGATGTCATGTTTATTTGCAGATATGAGAAGCAAAGTGTTGATACTTGTCACTGAATTGGAGAAAACCATCCAGTCACGACGAATCGAACAAAGAATCCGCAAAAAATGGCGTTTAGAAACCCTCTCTACAAAGGAGGTAGGCGCATGGTGGGTTATATAGGTATATACAGTGTTCTTCATCGCAGAGAAAATTGTTGTTTATCTGCCTGCCTATCGTCTTCATTGAGATAGTTGATGAATTGATGAATTATGAAAATATATCGCGTTTCAGTTACGAATGTTGAAAACAATATCCAGACTTTTCATAGATTATATGTTGGTCTCTCGATTCATAATTCAAATTGATCCTTAGTTTCAGATTCGAACAGCACATTGTTTGGCATGCAAGGTCCTTAATATATCCCACGTAATTGAACATGTGGAAAATGCCTACTGGAAAAACCATTATACGGAAAGAAAGCGGATATGTAGCAATCTATTATAGTTACGGACGTTGAAAATATTATTCAGGTATGTCTCACATTCAACATCTATGTATTTCCTCATCCAGTGATATTTTCTGATTCAAATGTACTTCGATTTGAATGTGATGTTTAGTTGCAGATCCAAGAAGCAGTGTTTGATACTTGCCACTCAATCAGAGAAAACCATCCAGTAAATACGGACCGAACAGACGATCCGCCAAGAGAACTGACGAGATGAGTATACTTTACAGAATTCAGATCATTATATTCGTACGGAAGGCGATATATTGATTACCATTCCAGATTCTCAAGCAGACAGATAGACAGATATTCAGCTTTATGTCTCTATGGAAACACGACAGGTACCCTTACGAGGGGAGAGTATCAACTCGGCGTTTATAAACCCTCTCTGCAAAGGAGGTAGACGCATGGTGGGTTAGGTATATACAGTGTTCTTCATTGCAGAGAAAACTGTTGTTTATCTGCCTATCTCGTCTTCATTGAGATAGCTGATGAATTACAAAAATATATCGCGATCCAGTTATGATGTTGCAAACAATATCCAGACTTTTCATAGATTCATATTCTATGTAGGTCTCACGATTCAAATTAGAAATTGATACTTAGTTTCAGATCTGAGCAGCACATTGTTTGACCTTCAAGGTCCTTGATATAACCCACGTAATTGAACATGTGGAAGATGCCTACTGGAAAACCCATTATACGGAAAGAGAGCGGATATGTAGCAATCTACTAACGGACGTTGAAAATATTATTCAGGTATGTCTCAGATGCAACATCTATGTATTTCCTCTAGTGATATTTTCTGATTCAAATGTACTTCGATTTGAATGTGATGTTCAGTTGCAGATCCAAGAAGCAGTGTTTGATACTTGCCACTCAATCAGAGAAAACCGTCCAGTAGATACGGACCGAACAGAGGATCCGCCAAGAGAACTGACGAGATGAGTATACTTTACAGAATTCAGATCATTATATTCGTACGGAAGGCGATATATTGATCACCTTTCCAGATTCTCAAGCAGACAGATAGACAGATATTCAGCTTTATGTCTCTATGGCAACACGACAGGTACCCTTACGAGGGGAGAGTATCAACTCGGCGTTTATAAACCCTCTCTGCAAAGGAGGTAGACGCATGGTGGGTTAGGTATATACAGTGTTCTTCATTGCAGAGAAAATTGTTGTTTATCTGCCTGTCTCGTCTTCATTGAGATAGTCGATGAATTACAAAAATATATCGCGTTCCAGTTATGAATGTTGCAAACAATATCCAGACTTTTCATAGATTCATATTCTATGTAGGTCTCACGATTCAAATTAGATATTGATACTTAGTTTTAGATCTGAGCAGCACATTGTTTGACCTTCAAGGAAGATGCCTACTAAAAAAACCATTATACGGAAAGAAAGCGGATATGTAGCAATCTACTAACGGACGTTGAAAATATTATTCAGGTATGTCTCAGATGCAACATCTATGTATTTCCTATAATGATATTTTCTGATTCAAATATACTTCGATTTAAACGTGATGTTTATTTGCAGATCCAAGAAGCAGTGTTTGATACTTGCCACTCAATCGGAGAAAACCATCTAGTAAATACGGACCGAACAGAAGATCCGCAAAGAGAACTGACGAGAGTATACTTTACAGTATTCAGATCATTATATTCGTACGGAAGGCGATATATTGATCACCTTTCCAGATTCTCAAGCAGACAGATAGACAGATATTCAGCTTTATGTCTCTATGGCAACACGACAGGTACCCTTACGAGGGGAGAGTATCAACTCGGCGTTTATAAACCCTCTCTGCAAAGGAGGTAGACGCATGGTGGGTTGGGTATATACAGTGTTCTTCATTGCAGAGAAAATTGTTGTTTGTCTGCCTATCTCGTCTTCATTGAGATAGTTGATTAATTAATTGATGAATTACAAAAATATATCGCGTTCCAGTTATGAATGTTGAGAACAATATCCAATATTCTATGTAGGTCTCACGATTCAAATTTGAAATTGATCCTTAGTTTTAGATCCGTGCAGCACATCGTTTGGCCCTCAAGGTTCTTCATATCACGTAATTAAAAATGTGGAAGATGCCTACTGGAAAAAACACTATTCGGAAAGAAAGCGGATATGTAGCAATCCAGTTACGGATGTTGAATATATTATTCAGGTATGTCTCAGATTCAACATCCATGTAATTCATCTGATGATATTTATTTTCTGATATGAATGTACTTCGATTGATATGTGATGTTCTGTTGCAGATCAGAGAAGCAGTATTTGATACTTTTCACTCAATCGGAGAAAACCATCCAGTCCTTACGAGCCGAAGAGAAGATTCACAAAGGGAACTGACCAGAGTATACTTATGGTGACTTGTTATGTTATAGACTTGGTATATCGAAGACTGGAACCTTTGGCACGTTAATACACTACACTGTTTTACCACTAACCAAACCGATTTATTAACGCCTCGACACGTGTTTCGCTAACTATGTTAGCATCTTCAGGAGAAGATTAAAACTAATCTTCTCCTGAAGATGCTAACATAGTTAGCGAAACACGTGTCGAGGCGTTAATAAATCGGTTTGGTTAGTGGTAAAACAGTGTAGTGTATAGACTTGGTATATTATGATCACAAATTATGATTTGATAGTCCGACCATGTCTGACATTGATGTGCCATTTTTATAATATAATAACAACTCAGTCTTGTAATTTGTATCAATTGTATCCACAATTTGGTGACCCCGAAGTGATATTATGGAGCAGTTGAGCGAAGGCGAGATCATACAAATTTTAGGAAATCTCAACATCCATATGTTAGTGATTTGATGGATATTAAGGAAATGCTGACATTTCAAAAACTTATAAGGATCAATTCCACGAAGCCGCATTCTTTCATAGATTTCATCAAGAATCATTCCAAATGATGTTTTGAACACTATTTTTACGAAGAAGATCGATTATGCGAAATTCTGATCGACATTGATGAAAATAATAAAAATGATTCGTTGGAAGCAGAGAAATGAATTTGGGAAAGATGACTTCATCAATGTTGGACTGCAATATCGCACTCTGATGGGTTGGTTTCGTAGAGGTCTCTCTGTATACGTTTTTTCCTAATATCTATTCGTTGCAAACACACCGTGTATTTTTTAAATATATTCATCGATAAGATTTTAATCTGCCGCTGGTTTTTCTGCTCACCCTGTAATAAATTATAATATTCCATTTGGCACAAGATATTTGATCTGCCTCTGGAGTTCAGTTCGCTCTGTATATGATATTTCTAATATTCATCCAGCTCAATTAAACGCACTAAGTATTTTTTCAATAAGATTTTGATCTGTATCTGATTCTTTAGGTCAACCTGTATTTATGTTTTTCCATATTTCAATTGGTTCAAGATATTTGATCTGCCTCTGGTTTTGTAGGTCGCTCTGTGTATGTTTTATCTGATATTCATCCGTCGCGAACACACTGATGTATATGTATTAATTTTTCATCCAACTCATACGTCAACTGTTACACGTCACCGGACATCAACTCCAACTGCTATCTGTCCAAGGTCATATGTCATCGGTCATCGCCCTGTTTATGTTTTTTTCTGATATTCATTAGTCTCGAACACACCGTACATTTTTTCAATTTCCATCAATAAGATCTGGCTCTGATTCTTCAGGTCACCCTGTATATGTTTTTCGATATTTCATCGGTTTTGTAGGTCACTCTGTATAAGTTTTTTGTGATATTCATCTGTCTCGAACACACTGTATATGTATTCATTTTTCATCCAACTCACACGTCATCGGTCATCGGCAATCATCGGTCATCGTTCATCGTTCATCTTCATCTTCTCTTTACTTTTCGTTTTTCTGTTATTCCATAATCCCGAACGTGAACATAATCAGTAACCCAATATCCCGAAACGTCTTTGATTGGATGGATGTCGCGACTGAGATGACAAATGACAATTGACAGACACTACACCGCGATCGACGCGACCCCTCATTCCGCAAGATTCGCAAGAACAAGAACGCGGCCGGCCATTTTGGTTTCGTGATTTGTTGAAAACAAAAAAAATTGCGTGAGCCGTGAACTGAATCTGTGCATGGTTGAATTAAAATTTATTTTTTCCTCCATCTGTTATTATAGAACAAAATACAATGACTGAAAGATACGATTCAAATGGAGAATACTACACTGACAACTTCAAAAGGAAAGCATCAGAAAGCAATTACAATAATGATAACGCAACGGGTGATACTGAAGAAAATAATCAGCAAAACCAAAAGGCCAATGAGTATGTTAAGGAACTTCTTGCCGAAAAACTATTATTGGACCAGAGCAAATTTTCAAATGCCGCAAAATTAATAGACCAAGGTAAGTACCTACCTCAGTACCCACTTTCTGAAAATTCTCTAATGCAATATGATTTTTTTTACTTCCAGAGGTTTCTAAAGTTCAGCAATTAGGTAGAGTCCCGAGAGATAACAAGTATGTGGATATCTACAGAGAAAAGCCTATCAAGGTTACTGTAAAGGTGTTAGTACCTGTAAAAGAACATCCAAAGGTAAATCTCCTTTTTTCTTCTCATTCAATGTAACGATTATAATCATGATATTCTAGTTCAATTTTGTTGGGAAATTGTTGGGACCAAAAGGCAATTCAATGAAGAGGCTTCAAGAGGAGACCATGTGCAAAATGGCTGTACTTGGTAGAGGGTCTATGAAAGACCGCAACAAGGAGGAAGAGCTAAGAACCTCTTTGGACCCCAAATACAGGTGCATACCCATCAGTTTTACTGACTATCAAAGTTAATTATACTGCTTCTTTCTAGTCACTTATCTGATGATCTGCATGTTGAAATATCTGCACTGGGACCACCAGCAGAAGCTCATGCTAGAGTGGCTTTTGCTCTAGCAGAAGTGAGAAAATACCTCATCCCTGACAACAATGACTTCATCAGGATAGAGCAAATGAGAGAGATGGAAATAATGGTGGGTGATCCTCATGAACACCCCCATCATGAGGACAGAGAAATGAGACCAAGAAGACCTCCACCTCAAATGATGAGATGTGAGTATTAATTTTCAACAGATACAATATTTTTATTCAATAGCCTAACTCTAATAGGCAAGAACAAAAATGTGTGAAATGAATTCAAATGTGCATGTAATTGAAATATATTAATAATCTAACATGAATGCATCAATATTTTGATAAAATATGTTGTAATACTTCAAACACCCCAATTTGAATACCCTACTTTAAACATGCTTTAGGCAGTGCCAGTGCTGATGTGATAATAATCCCTTTTCCTGTGTTGCCAGCTGTTTTATGAAGCAAATATCAAGTAAATATTTCCCAATTCAGAATTGATCCATCTATGATTGATTGATAGATTGATTTGATTGGGTGGTAGCACATTCTAGGTTCCATCAGCAGTGACAAAATTATCAGTTATTCCTTTATTCATAGGTTTATATAAGGATCTAATGCTTTTGGTGTACTTATTCTCAATGAACTCCAAATTCTGGTGAAATAACTTTAATATCTATGTCATAATATGACCCAAGCCAGTGTATAAGAAAAAGAAAAGAATAGGCCACTTTTATAATGTCTGGCTCAGTTCATCCATGATATTTTTGAAATTGTTTGAATCTTGTGAACAATGCTAAAGTATTCAAACAAGTGAAGTATCTATTGAGACAACAACACGGTTTATCTCACTGAAAAGTGAGATTGCTTTGTGGATTTGTAGACAGTCAGTGCATTAAAGAACTTGTAATGTCAGTCCTGCTGACGATTCTCTGGGAATTAATCTTGGGATATGTAGAAGGAATAAAAAATTTAAAAAACTCTGTGCATTTCTCATTCTGATGAACATCATAGTATTTGGTCTAGAAATTAGTTTGCCTTTATTTTAGAAATGTAGGGTATCCAATTAATATTTTTCTCTAAACCAGATTTTTTTTTTTTCATGAAATGTGCCAACAATTTACTGTTGAAAAAGTTGGGACTATTTTAAATAAATAGTGACATTTTATGCATCATCCTCTAGGTGCTACAATATGTATAATATGTTTCATTGTATTTATGTTGTATGTACGCTGGTTACACCATGCATAGATCACATTGACTCATGAATATATACCCTGCACAAATTGCAATGGACTATTGGACTGTAGATGAAATATTGTCATTCAATTACTCCACTGTGTTGTTAGGGTCCTAAATTGATTTCTGCGATAGTTACTCCTTTTTTCATGTATATAATGTGTCAATGCTTTGTTCAAAATTGTTGAATTTCGGAGCTCATTCCAAATGAGCTGTCATGGCCACCATTTGGCCATGTTCTGGGATATATTGGATAAATGGTGACGTCAGTTCTTATGCTGTTTCCTTATCGGTCAAATAATCTTCCATTCCCACTCATAAAGCAAGGTTGTCAAGTCACTAATTATAATCAAGTAATCAAAAAAATGTAGAGTTGTCCGCTAGAAGGAGGTCAATCCATTAACCATATATTCCTTGAACAAAAACAATATGAGTTTCTAAATACCATTTTTCACTTTGGCCCTTCATATTTGATATACAGGATGTCAAAGTTGGAAATTGAAAACTTTTTTTTTTTTCTAATTACTCGCGTATTTAATAAGATATCAATCTCAAAATTGGTACATTACAACAAAAAAACAGAAAGTAACTGTCAAATATTCAAAATACTGGGGGTCAAGTACACACTTATCCCCATATTTTTTTTGTACGTGCGCTAATGACTTCCTATCTATTTTTTTTCAAGTGTTCAATCAATTTTGAGTATTTTTTGTTTCTTGTAAAATTTCGATAAAACTATTTGTTTTTAAGATAATTCGAAAAGTACTGGTTATTGTTTGATGCCTATGTGGCTTACGGTAATCTCATAATGTTCACATACTCCTATTTATTTCGTCGAAATTGGAAGAAGACGTGTTTTTTTACGTACGAAAAGGTGAATATGGAAATACCGGGTGCTCTAAGGGAATGACTTCCAGCTCCCAAGTTTCGAAGTTCATCAATAAAGAAACCCAAACTGTTCCATTGGAGAAGGATATTGTATTGAGAATTGTATTTTTTTTTTTAATTTCTAATAGGGATATGTTTGTAGGCGCAGTGACCTAATGGTAAAATAGAAACCTATGGAAATTATGCTCAAAATGGTCCTTAGGTACCATTCAAGAACCTCTTCAAATTTTTCCTATCGTTTTTCTCCTTCTTCTGATAGTGCTAAGACATTGTGCTTCGCTCACCCGCTCACCTTCCTAATCCTGATTGCAACATTTTCCTTTTTTTCCTATATGAATATTTTTATTTAATCATGTTTACTCTTAAATATTTCAAATAATGCGAGCGCTTCCCATTAGCGAACATAAGATAGAGAGAGATAGGTATCCGTAAACACTGCGGGTTGCCTGAACAATATTTTTGTCTCACTCGTCGTTCACATAGGGTTCCTTCCAGTTGTTTATATTGAGTTCATTGCTTGCCTATTGTGAGACATGTAATTTTCCCGTAGCCGGGCCCCCGCGAGCCGCCCCGCGCGCTCCCCCACCACCTTCGATGCGCCCCTCCGCCTCTGGAGGAGTGGGAGGAGGCAGACCCTCCCCCTCTCAGCCGCGCGGCGTCATGCCCGCCAAGACGAAGATCATGTCGATCTTGGATAGGGCGCGAGTCGCCATGGAGGAGAGCTACGGATACGAGGAGGAGCAGTATGAGGGGGGAGCTGGAGGCTATGAGGAGTATGTGCCTAGAGGAGGCGGAGGAGGAGGGTACGGGATGGGAGGAGGTGGTGGTGGTGGTGGGGGGCATCACTATGTGGAGCCAGAGTATGAAGGGGATTACTACCGGCAGAGTGCTTCTAGTTACGGTGAGTTGGTTTTTCTTCTTTGTTATTCTAAAAGAAAAGATAGATATTTCGTTTCATTGTTGATCGGGTCGATTCTGTTTGGATCTTGATGTAACACAGCTAAGACAACAATATTATTATGTTCATAACACAATAGGTGCGTTTTGTTGTGCCATTACTCAATCTGGTTCTTGGCATTGTACAGGGTCATTCCATATATTTAAACAGCTTCTACAGGGTTCATCATCGAAGATAGAGAAAAACTTCGAATGCAAAAGTTGTAGGGTTTGTTCTGAACCTCCAGAAAATTACACCAGATGAAACAAATGAATATCGCTGATATAAGAAATGGGTACCAACTTCGATATTTTCAATAAAACGCCCAATATTTTTTTCGAAAAAATTCAAGATCTTTATTTCCTGATTCCAAAAATATATTGGTCATTGGTATTTGGTTCAGCCGTTTTCGAGATATTCGGGGTTGAACATTTCAGCAAACGACTGCCGATTTTCTGTGGTAAGTTCGGTAAGGTTGAATTGACGTTGAGGATTTTTTCTATTTCAGGTTTCAGGACATTATATCCATTGCTTGTGTTAACTGTGCACAAGCATTATAATAGAGACTTTATGTGCCATAACTGAAAATCAAATACTAGCGGAGCATGAATGTTCTAAAAACTCTGAATATATTGATGTAAACTATAAATCAAAACAGATGTATAGTGCTGATCACGAAAACGACATCGTCATGCCAGTCAAATGATTACAGGACTTCATTCGAGTATTCTGATAATATCCCATGTTTTCAAGAAATTTCAAAGTGTGAGAGTGAGAATATATCATTTAGTTTCTTAACAATGATAGTGATATTAAAACAATATTTTTCACCATGTAAGTAGTCATTACCGTGACTGGCATTCCGTAAATAAACCGCAACCGTAGTTACCAGTAGATTACCACTGTCAAAATTGTTGGTACCGGCCCTGAAAGCATCGTTAACCTGGGTTAATTAACGCAATATATCTATACCAGAGACAAATACAAGGACAAATATAATATGATCAGATTTGGAGGTTGAAAATATCAAATGTTTCTACAGTTCCAAATGTTTCAATTGTCTGGCGCCGAACGGGAGTGAAGTTAGCCACATCCACAAAATACACCGAGAAAAATTTATCTCCAAAAATTTCACCCAATTTCAGATGGAACTTGAACGCATTTCATATAATGACTGAAGAGGGGTGAGAGCCTGCGTCAAATTTGATAGGGTGGTGGTGAACTCATAGTTTGTCAGGCCGTCTAAGGGGGTAGAAAAGGGGTTGAAAAACAAAAAAATTCATTATCTCCGTTAATATTCGTTGTACATGGATTTTGAAGGGAGCAAACGATTCTACTGATTGTATTTGATGAAAAGGTGTTGAACTCATAGTTTGTCAGGCCGTCGAAGGGGGTAGAAAAGGGGTTGAAAAACAAAATTAATCATTATCTCCGGGAATACTCGTTGTCGAGCTCGTTGTACATGGATTTTGGAGGCAGAAAACGATTCTACTGATTGAATTTGACAGAATAGTGTTGAACTCATAGTTTGTCAGGCCGTCAAAGGGGGTAGAAAAGGGGTTGAAAAACGAAAAAAATCATTATCTCCGTTAATATTCGTTGTACATGGATTTTGAAGGCATCAAACGATTCTACTGATTGTATTTGATGGGAGGGTGGTGAACTCATAGTTTGTCAGGCCGTCTAAGGGGGTAGAAAAGGGGTTGAAAAACAAAAAAATTCATTATCTCCGTAAATATTCGTTGTACATGGATTTTGAAGGCAGCAAACGATTCTACTGATTGTATTTGATGGGAGGGTGGTGAACTCATAGTTTGTCAGGCCGTCTAAGGGGGTAGAAAAGGGGTTGAAAAACAAAAAAATTCATTATCTCCGTTAATATTCGTTGTACATGGATTTTGAAGGCGGCAAACGATTCTACTGATTTCATTTGATGGGAGGGTGGTGAACTCATAGTTTGTCAGGCCGTCTAAGGAAAAGGGGTTGAAAAACAAAAAAAATCATTATCTCCGTAAATATTCGTTGTACATGGATTTTGAAGGCAGCAAACGATTCTACTGATTCTTTTTGATAGGAAGGTGCTGAACTCATAGTTTGTCAGGCCGTCTTAAGGGGTAGAAAAGGGGTTGAAAAACATGAAAATTCATTATCTCCGTAAATATTCGTTGTACATGGATTTTGAAGGCAGCAAACGATTCTACTGATTCTTTTTGATAGGAAGGTGCTGAACTCATAGTTTGTCAGGCCGTCTTAAGGGGTAGAAAAGGGGTTGAAAAACAAAAAAATCATTATCTCCGTTAATACTCGTACATGTATTTTGAAGGCGGCAAACGATTCTACTGATTGTTTTTGATAGGAAGGTGCTGAGCTCAAAGTTTGTCAGGCCGTCTAAGGGGGTAGAAACGGGGTTGAAGAACAAAAAAAATCAATAGCTTCGTTAATATCCGTTGTATGTACATGGATTTTGAAGGCGGCAAACGAATCTACTGTTTGTATCTGATAAGAAGGTGTTGAACTCATAGTTTGTCAGGCCGTCTAAGGGGGTAGAAAAGGGGTTGAAAAACAAAAAAATTCATTATCTCCGTTAATATTCGTTGTACATGGATTTTGAAGGCAGCAAACGATTCTACTGATTGTATTTGATGGGAGGGTGGTGAACTCATAGTTTGTCAGGCCGTCTATAAGGGGGTAGAAAAGGGGTTGAAAAACAAAAAATATCAATATCTCCTTTAATATTCGTTGTACATGGATTTTGAATGCGGCAAACGAATCTAATAATCGAATTTGATAGGAAGGTGTAAAACTCATAGTTTGTCAGGTCGTCTAAGAGGGAAGGAAAGGGGTTGAAAAAGGAAATTAATCATCATCTCCGATAATATTAGTTATGTTGATAAAGAAATATTATAAAGTCATGATAAAATGAACAGCAAGTTCAGAAAATAAGAGTTATCTGAGAATTCAGATACTTTGTAATATCTGATATTGAATTGTATTCCTATTGATTCTGCTATTGCTAAACAAACACTCATGTAATTCCTGAGTATTGGAAAAAATATGTGGAATAGTTTCTCATCGAAAAAGATAAAATGTCATGTTCATAAGATTCTTTGAGTTTTATCAAAAAATAATCGATAGATTTCATTTCAAATGTCATTGATTATCAATATTGTAAGATGGTGTGAACTCACATTTTTTTACAATTGCATGTGAAATAATCTGAAAAAAAAATTATAAAATTAATGACAATTTTGAAGAAATGCTTTATTAAAAAATATATTCTGTTAGAATGAACTTCAAAAAACGATCCATAACAGCTTTCAGACAAGAAATCGTATAATCTATTTTTCATGACTCATCAGACGGAAACTGCTATTCTCGAGTCGCGAAAACTAACGTTTATTAAGTAGAGGATACACTTCCCGATATGCAAAATGATTTTTCATGATGAAAAAAAAAATTATAATGTTCTCAATCAGATTATCTAGGTGCCCGGAAAGTGTTATTATGGAAAACTCACTGATTTTGTATAAGAAAATTATAAACGGCATATTTTGTAAATTTTTGGGTATATTCATAATTCTTTTCTGATTGATTAGGTGAGGAAACTGAAATTCTACTCACAGGGAACCATTCATTCATATCTTCGAGAAAAGTACACCTGACAGATGATGTATTCCCCTTCTATGTTTGAATTGTCCTATGATTTGGTAGCTCGAGGACTACCATACGCAGAGAATATTAACGAAGATATTGATTTTTTTTGTTTTTCAACCCCTCTTCTACCCCCATAGACAGCCTGACAAACTATGAGTTCACTACCTTCCCATCAAATTCGATTTGTAGATTCGTTTGCCGCCTTCAAAATCCATGTACAACGAATATTAACGGAGATATTAATTTTTTTTGTTTTTCAACCCCTTTTCTACCTCCTTTGACGGCCTGACAAACTATGAGTTCACCATCCTCCTATCAAATACAATAAGTAGAATCGTTTTCCGCCTTCAAAATCCATGTACAACGAATATTAACGAAGATAATGATTTTTTTCGTTTTTCAACCCCTTTTCTACCCCGTTAGACGGCCTGACAAACTATGAGTTCACCACCCTCCCATCAAATTCAATCAGTAGAATCGTTTGCCGCCTTCAAAATCCATGTACAACGAATATTAACGGAGATAATGAATTTTTTTGTTTTTCAACCCCTTTTCTACCCCCTTAGACGGCCTGACAAACTATGAGTTGACCACCCTCCCATCAAATACAATCAGAAGAATCGTTTGCTTCCTTCAAAATCCATGTACAACGAATATTAACGGAGATAATGAATTTTTTGTTTTTCAACCCCTTTTCTACCCCCTTAGACGGCCTGACAAACTATGAGTTCACCACCCTCCTATCAAATTCGATCAGTAGAATCGTTTGCTTTCTTCAAAATCCATGTACAACGAATATTAACGGAGATAATGGATTTTTTTGTTTATCAACCCCTCTTCTACCCCCATAGACGGCCTGACAAACTATGAGTTCACTACCTTTCTATCAAATTTGATTAGAAAATTCGTTTGCTGCCTTCAAAATCCATGTACAACGAATATTAACGGAGATATTAATTTTTTTTGTTTTTCAACCCCTTTTCTACCCCCTTTGACGGCCTGACAAACCATGAGTTCACCATCCTTCTATCAAATACAACAAGTAGAATCGTTTGCCGCCTTCAAAATCCATGTACAACGAATATTAACGGAGATAATGAATTTTTTTGTTTTTCAACCCCTTTTCTACCCCCTTTGACGGCCTGACAAACCATGAGTTCACCATCTTCCTATCAAATACAATAAGTAGAATCGTTTGCCGCCTTCAAAATCCATGTACAACGAATATTAACGGAGATAATGAATTTTTTTGTTTTTCAACCCCTTTTCTACCCCCTTAGACGGCCTGACAAACTATGAGTTCACCACCC